AATGTCTAAAGCCAGCTGGATGGCCTTCACTTGCAAGTTGGCTCGATTCACCTTCTCCTTCAGCAGTTTCTGTGACTTGTCGTATAGGACTCCACACAGCAGCTTTCCACCTCCAGTCGCTACCACAATGTCCTTGAAAGGACTATTTAGTTCCATTAGCCTTTTTCTCTTAAAAAAAATCCCTGGACTCTTAACAGCTAACAAAAGGCTGCCAGTGACTTCAACTCCTTTCTAATTTTATATTCACATACCAGAATTGAAAATGAAATTACAAAGAAGTCTGACTACCCTATCCCCAATTACTTGTTCAGCATTAATGATAAGAAATTGGCTAGGTTTGGAAGACTTTATTTTCAGGATCTAATCCAGAAATCTGCTATAATGTGTCAAAATTAATAGTATGGAAACTGGCACCTGTGTTTTCAGATTTATCTACTTTTCAGCCATGCCTACGTAAAATAATAATTAAAGACACTTTTTTTTCCCTGTACTGAAGATACTGTTAGGCTGGAGCTTTAGGCAGTTAAAAAAAAAAATCTGTAGACCCTTTAAAACCTTCAGTCCCTTTAACTTTTTTGACTTGTGCTCTTTCAGTCACCTTGTATCTTCTATGGAGTTTCGTGATGGGAAGGGACACAGCAGCTCCTCCTGTCATTGTTTCGTTCCCCTTGATTAAATTAGAAACACGTTTCTTCTGGGCCTTGTTCTTTGTAAGCAGTAATCCTTTCCGTCCCTGCCTGTGCTTCTAAAGGTTGCAGGTGTCGTCTTCCCCTCTGCCTGGCGGGTCAAGCCTGTGACGATGCTTGCCTTTTACATGTTACTCAGGGCAGACAGCCTTTGACCTCTCTCCAGTCAGATGTGTTGAAATATCCTGCAATATTGACTGTTAGTGAAATTTAGCTCAGTGGTTGTCTGTGAGCTGATTTTTATTTCCACCTGGACAGTCAACCTCCAAGTACAGCATCATGAAGGAGTGACAGAAACTGTGGGATAAGCTTGTAAGTGCAGTGAGATTCCTGGAGCAGGCTGGCTATAAACTCTGTATCCAAAGAGAAACAAAAATCAACAAGATGAACTTCTGAAAATTACGTTTTAATGCATCTGGGCATGGTTTGTAGGGTGGGCATTAGGTCTTTGGTACCAGCTGTTTGACTTCACAGATCTGCTGTTGTTACACCAACCTGCTTGCTAATGTAGACAAAGCATTACTTTGATGAGGTTTGGATCTCTGCACTGACATCACTAGCCTGCTATTAGTATATATGTGTAGGAGTATGAATATTGTTTTGATACCCATTTTATATTTCTTTGTGGACATACCCTTAGATACGAGAGTCCTAACCATCTCTAGCTCTATCCTGTTCAGAGTCACATACAGTTTATCATCTGGAGTAAGCATATGATATATTTGTTTCTATTAATATCCAGGTTGGAAGGGAAATGAACTAATTTTTGGGTTTTGGACAAAAAAAGGAACGCTGTTCCAGATGCCTGGAGCTCCCACCCTTGCTACTGCTGTGACTTTCTTGTTTGGAGACAGATTTCCTCAAAGCTTGTTTATGAGAACACCACTTTATTTGGGTATCTGTGTTAAAAAAGAAACATCTTGTACTCTTCCCACTCTCATTATTGAAGTTCTGCATGAACAGGTCATCTTAAATACTGCACAGTGCATGACTTGAAATGTTCAGCATGTGATTTTTGGCTGTCAGGTCTGTTAGGCAAATCACAGTCTGACTGTCTTCAAGACTGAGCTTTTTGCTACAGTCTGAACAACACTGAAATATCTTGTTTTTGGAAAACTGAATTTCCTGTTGTGTCCGTCTGGCACATATGGCTGAGCATTCACTAGCATCACCAGAACGGTGGAGCCAGCCAAGAACAAACGTTTGGCATGTTTTATGCTAGAAAAGCCTCATTTCCAAATCAAAACATGCATATGCGCATACTCAAAATGAAGTGATAAATGCTTAAAAGCTGGACCAGAATAAAAAAACATGTCAGTATTGCTGTTGTCACTTCTTCAGTAAAGGTTGTGTCAGCCATGTTTTTCCCAAGGCACAGTTTGTACGTTGGAAATTTTCTTTCCAGTGAAATGACTGAATAATAAGTGAGTCTTCCATTTTTCAAAGGACCTGGAGTGCAGTAGGCCCATTATGTTCCTCATCTTAATTGAAATCTGTCATGGCTGCTTTCATCCATTTTATGAGTACTTCTGAGAGACCTCTTGGTTTCTTTTTCTTCTAAGCCTTTGACTGATCCGTCACTCTCTTTTCTCGTGGGTTGAGCTCCTAACCCTGTGAGTATTTCTTCGTGGTGTTTTCACACAGATCTGTGAAGAACAACTTGGGCAACAACTGGATGCCCAAGATTAAGGAGAGAGGTTCGCTTAGTCAGGGTGGACAGAAATTAAGTCTTCCTAATACAGCTTTTCCAAATAGGCCATATTAAAATTGCTTTGGCTTCTTACGGTATTAGTGCTTACTGATGTGCATCTTCTTTGCAGACAGGCTTTTAGCACTCGTGCTTTAAGGCAAGTAGTAAGAAGCAAGCATGGAGAAGTTTTGGGAGGTTCATGACTACTTCACTAGTAAGAAGGTGTCTAAAAAGTCAGTCTTCCTAATACAGCTTTTCCAAATAGGCCATATTAAAATTGCTTTGGCTTCTTACGGTATTAGTGCTTACTGATGTGCATCTTCTTTGCAGACAGGCTTTTAGCACTCGTGCTTTAAGGCAAGTAGTAAGAAGCAAGCATGGAGAAGTTTTGGGAGGTTCATGACTACTTCACTAGTAAGAAGGTGTCTAAAAAGTCTGTTTATGCAAAAAAAAAAAAAAAAAAAAACTTTTTCAGTCTTTTCCAAAGAGAAATCCTGGTTGCATGTAGTCTGCCATGTGTTATATGAATGCATAATATTGTAGACCGTAAAAGTAAGCATAAGTAATTCAGGCTTATTACAGAGTTTATTACTGAAGGTGAGAGCAGTGTTTCTGGTAAAAGCTGTCTTTTTTAACAGGATCATAGACTAACTCTCCATAGGCAAATACAGCTGCCAAACTTCTATGCAAGAACCTCAGATCTTTCATATTTATGTCACGATCACATACCTTATTTGAAAAAGTTTTTTTTTCTTGAATTTTAAAGATGTTACAGAGTTGAGAATGTTTGCTGGAACATTTTTAATTAACAATTTTTTGAAAGAGTTTCAAATGTCAAGATAAGCATACAAAGAAAGTGCCAGATAAAATAAAAATGAAATACTGAACAGAATTAGTCATGCTTGAAGCTCGTGCTGCTTGATTCTAAAAGTTTTTGGTTTAGTGCAAGTCCCATTGGACTCATCAGAATAATTTCTGTGTTTGAACTGGATTTCCTGTTTGTTCACGTTAAGTTATATTTTAAGAAAAGTTTTCCTGGATGAAACATACAGTGATAACAATATAGAGAAAAATGAAGATATTTAACCTAATTTTACTTTTCTAATTGGAGAGAAAATGTCTATCACTTGTAACTTGAAGAGCTAGAGCAGAGAGTAGCTTATTACCAATTTGCATTGTACACACAAAATCCCCAACATTCTTGTCTGGGGGGGGGCGAGGAATCTAATTTTAAAAACATGCATGCTTCTGTGGTCTTCATCAGAACAGTGAGAGCGCTATGGCTGTTAAAAAGATGTAACAGGTACCTTTCATGGGGAATTTTCTCTTTCATGAACTGTAACAATAAGACCTGAAGACTTATTTTTGTTACTGCATTTAATTACACACATTATCTATAAGCAAAACAAAGACATACTAGTTGCCAGGGCAAGCTGATTAATCCAGTAATAATGAAATGTATGAACTGCGATTTGGTGGAATGGATGGACGAAGGGTGTTGCCATTCTGCTAGGGAGACTGTCATTCGGAATGGACCAGGAAGCGAAGCTTAGATAACTGGGCCTAATTATTTTGCATTTGCAGTCTAATTTGATCAGTAGTTGATCTTCATTAATTAAGTAAAATAGACACACCAAGGTGGTGTGTTTCACTGCTGTTTCTGAGCATGGATGTTATAAGGATTTAATCTTTAGTAATTTGATTTTTCTAGGCCAAATCCTTGTTTGGTGACTAGAGCTGCCTATCTTGATGTCCTTGTGATGCTGAGTACTCACCTGGGGAAGTTTCAAAAGCAAGGTAGGTCAAAAGTACTGCTCTATAAATCGGATGGAATATCTGTGGGGAAATTTCTGAGCTCTGTTGAATCCAGAGAAACAATAATATATTACCTGTACTCATGGTATCTACTGAATGCTGGAGTCCGTTAGCTGCTTTGTATAAAAGGGCCCTTTATTCTGCCTTCTGTAGAGCTAGTCTTGGGGGTCGTTGATGAGAAGAATGAGGTATGGCTCCGTGTCAAAGCCTGAAATGATGATCTGGCAATATTCCTAATCCTAGAACTATGTAACAACAAAAAAGATCCCCTCCAGTGTTCCAAAATGTTTTTCTGATCCAAGGTTGTAAATACAAACAAAATCCGAACCCTGGAATATTGCTACTTTAACCTTTCCTGAAAGCTACAGAGATGTTCCCTCAGGAGACACCTGAAAGTGTTTCAGAGAAAGTGTTTTCTCATCTTTAGAAGTTTTATAAGAAACAACTCTGAGAACTTCTTTAAATTTCCTTTTTTATATTTATTCTTTATCACTGTGAAGCTTTTGAAGGACCAGTCAGAACTATTAGTGGTTTTAATGATACAGAGTGTTGTTTGCAACAATACAAAACATACTGTAAACAATAAGGAAAACAAAGGTATGGAGGAAGGGATACCCTTTCAAGTGTGACTGTGTATAGGCAACTTTTGGTCAGCTGTAACTAGCTTCCTTGTGGGGCCTGTTTTGTTCACTTCTTATGAACACGTGAGGAGTAAATTACCTTGTCAGTCCAGGAAGGCAATTAAAGAATAGTTCTTTCATTTCATTAAAATTCTTAATGACTAATTTTAACACTGCATTTAAGTCATTAGAACCGTTCTTTATTTCAGAGTGTTTTGTTTTGGGGGCTGTTCTTAATTTTAAAACCAATTCATTTTGCTTTTTTGCTTAGACCTTTGGTAGAAGTAGTTCGATTTTAATTCCATAATTGCTATTTGTGTGATTTCTTGTGAATGCACAGTTCAAATAGTGGTAGTTGTCAGGAAAATGAGTTGGTGATGAACATGTCTGAAACTAACTTCTGAGATAGGTTGATGCAGAATCTAGCCGTTATAACAGAAGCATAGACATATAGAAAATATGTGACAGGTGGGTTCCGCCCTACCACAGGAAGACAGTTAGGGTTATCGGGGACTCTAGGAGATGGGTCTGATCTTTCATGTCCTCTGAAGAGTCTTTCCTCTCTCATGGGTCCCAGATGTCAAGATGTACTGTTCAGTAAAGGAAACTTCCAGATGATGTTGCACTGTAGGTCTCGTTCTGTCGGGTACTGACCACTGTTTGTGACTAGGCAAGGGCTGCATGCTTTATAGGGAGGAATGTACCACCCTATATGAAGCAGTTTCAGTATAACATGTCTCTAGGGATATGTTTTTTTCTGGCTCTTTAATGTTGTTTTGGGTGAGCTATATCTACCATCAGTAACTTTTAATGTTACAATATATATTTACTTATTTTCGTTATTTATACAAAATAAAGTTTCTTAAATCCTTGATATGCCATTGGCCTTAGTGATTATCCTTTGCAATACATTGAAAAGTGTAGCTGTGCATCACATCTACAAGATAAACAAAAACAATCCCCAAAGCCCCCTTCAACCATATTTGGGCTCATCACCCTTCTTTTTAATTTGAGTACTCCTTTTTTTTAAAGATAGATCCTCTTTGAAATATTAATTTTTACACTTTTTTTTAATCATGATCCTCTACCTCTGTTCATCTCCTTTGTAGTATGAATCATCCCAGTCTTTCTGTATTCTCTTCATATGAAGTTTTTTTTCCTCTGCTTCTGATTATTCTCATCTCTCACCCCCCAACTGTTTTTGTCTTTTCTTTTATGAAGGAACAGCCAGTATTCCAAGTGAGGGCTCCTCACTTGCTTACTTAGTGGGCATTACATTTCTTTATCAGTCTCTTTCCTATTTCAGTTACCTTTGGGGTTTTTGTCTGTTTTGGTTTTTAAACAATTGCTGCACATTTGCAAAGGCTTTTATTGACCTCTCCACACCAGGAAACTCCCGTTTTTTTTTTTAATGCCCCTGACTTGTGAATAGCCCTTTGAGCCTGGGGTACTGCACCATGCAGTGGCTGGATTACTGACTGTAGTGGATTCATTTATTTTTCAAAGCTCATGTGGACTGTTCCAAACCTGGGTGCTGTAAGGTACAATTTCTGTGGAAGGAAAGCAATTATTTTTGCAGACTCTCTCTGCTGAGGGATCGTTCATTAGTATTGTCTTGCTTAAAAGTTTCATTCCTATATAGGCTTAAAATTATATGTTGCAGGCAATATCTACAGAGAGTAGAAACTTAAACTGGAAATATGGTTTTGAAAGCTTGAAGATACGTTAGGGACAATTTTATATATCACAGGCAGAAGCCTTTCTGAAATGAAGGAGTAGTATGTTTATATTAAATAGAACCTGAGTGTCCCATGACACAGTGAGAGAAAGACTAAACTCAGCAGTTAAAAATTAATGTTTTGAGTCTCACATTTAAATGTTCTGTAAGGAATAGTTATTAACTGAGGCTTTATACTTTTCTGAAATTAAATATCTTACTCGTATATGTGTATCTCTGGTTATGAGCCAATTTTTCTCTGTTTTAATCTTGATTTGTAAAGTTGTTTGAATGAATAAAGGGTGAAGGACAAATCCAAATAAAACTGTTTCTTCATGTGTTTATCTAAGAGGCCCCAGGAAGTGCTGTGTATGAGTTCCAGGCCACGGGCTGAAACTGATTTTCATCAACAGAAACGGGAATGCAATGTAATGAGCCTGCAACTGGTTAAAATCAGACCACTTCTAACTGATTATGCCTGTCTAAAGGGGTTACAATTACAAAGAGATTTTCAGAGTACAACCCTGCCTAGGCCTTTCCTACATTACGATTATTTTCTGTAAGTGATTTGTTGTATTCAATTAATAAAATCTGTCTCTTAAAGTGCAGGACAGCCCTTAGGGAATTTACTTCACAAATTCAGAACAACTTAAAATGTCGGATAAGGAAGGCAGGGAGTAATGGATACCAAAAGCATCTTGTCCAGCTAAAAATTTATTGCTGGCTAAATGATAATTATTTATCTTAAAACAAACAAAAAAACCACCCCATAGTTATTCTGATGTGCTGGTTTGGATGGAAGTGTTGCCTGATTCATGTCACTGGGAAAATACAGTTTTCTTTCCTTGAGTTGATAGACAAAAATCTAGAGCATTTTTTCCAGCTCCTGAAGTGCCCGAGGGTCTTCTGACGTGCAGAGACAATGCATAATGCCAAGACTATGTAAACTTACAACATATTTTTTTTCAGTTATCAAGTGCGGTTGGAACTCGGAAAAAAACTGAAGCAAGCATTTAAAAAAAAAAAAGTTAATATATAAATAAAAATACTATTTTTGCCTTTATTGAGAGCAAACAAAAGTTCTTGCCAGATCTAGGATGATTTGATGAGCTAATGTCTACTGTCAGTATTAATAATTATTAATAATATCCAGTGAATTTGTTCTTGCAGACCTCTTTGATAAGTTGTCTCCACAGTAACTGTTTTTATAGACTTGGAATCACAGATGTCCAGGGCCTTTTCAGTCTAATGGGTAGAACAATGCAGTCCTCTTCCAGAGGATTTTCTGGCACTTGTACCCTGCTAAAGCAGTTAAGTTACTCCTCCAGAAGTAAACCAGCACCAGAGTGGGTGGTGTAGGAATAGGGGCAAGTTCCCGAACTTCACACTTCAAACATTACTGGAGGAAGCAAATAACACTTGTAGGCGTCTTTGGAGGGGAAAAATGCCTCCGAGTCCAGGTGAGAATGTGTCCAGCCTTAGCTGGACATTTATAATAATTTATAATTATTTGCAAATTCACACGTCTTGATCAGCAGGAGTTAGAAGGAGAGGTCTGTCAAGCTGTAGTGCCACAGATCTACGCGTGTGTCTGCAGTTACGCACTTTTCTCTGCACTCAGAGATGGGCTTTGCAAGAGACAGAATACCAGACTACAAACAGGCTATGCTGTGATACAGTGTTTCAGTGGGTAAGATTCCTCTGTTGAATATGTGGACTTTTGACAGGACCCATCATAGACATTCCTGCTTTCAGATCTTCTCCTGGAAATTGGTGTCTGAAGCTAAACAATAAGATGAGAGTATTACTGTGATCCTGCGGTGCTGGTAACACAGGAGCCAGAGCAGTGCATTGCAGTGAAAGCTCAGATCTGGGATGCTCTGTCTCTCTGTAACCGATGAAGATTGCCACAAGACAAAGTGGTCGCATTTTCTTTCTTGCTCACATCTCAGAACAGTTTTCTGCTAGTATTTTGTCAATTCATGAAGGGAAAAATGGATGCAACTCGCTAAAATACACTTGACTAATAAAAGCGTATTTTACCCAGGGTTGTGTTAAAAAAAAAAAATGGTACTTGTCGATAAAGTGTTGTGTTGAGTCCATAAAGCCCATCAACATAAGTGAAATTGGATATACAACAGGTGTCAGGGAAAAGATGCAAGAAAAATTTGCTAAAGATAATCCTTCCTAGTTGTTCTTTTATCCTATATATATGCTGTCAGTCTCCTGGCTGGTTTGGCCTATTACCGAGTATAGTGTTGTCAAAATTCAAGTTTGACGCGAAAGAGAAAACATTGAAATAGGATGTCAAATAGGTTGAACCTGTGATTTAGGAGAAGCTGCCACTTGAAGTCTAACTATGCATTTTTCCTTTCTACATTTGAGGTGGAAGAATTTATAAAAGTTCTTGAGATTAACCAAACTCCACTGTTGTTGTCGTCAGTGGGAACGGTTACTCAGTATTTACATAATTAATCCTGTTCATAAATAGATTGTTTTGATATCAAAATGGAGCAGCCAGTATTCTGCTCTCACTAATATATTCTTTCCTTGAGTTTTGCAAAAACAGACTTCCATTTTCTTACTATCTTCTGAACAGCTAAACCTTTCGTAGGTGTGGCTTAGTTAAGATTCTTAAATTCTGC